AAAATGTCATATGTACAGTGGGATTCAGCCAAAAAGCCCACTATTTATTATTTTATTAACACATTGGCTGTCTCCCACCAAGGCAGGGTGGCCCAAAAAAGAAAAACTGTCATTGTCATTCACTCCATCACTGTCTTGCCAGAGGCACACTCACACTACAGTTATAAAACTGCAACATTAACACCCCTTCTTCAGAGTGCAGGCACTGTACTTCCCATCTGCAGGACTCAAGTCCGGCCTGCCCACTATGTAGATTTAAATTAGGATAACCCAATATAGTCAATCAATTTGACCTGTTCCCATGAGCATTACACCTTGGAAACAACTGTAATATATTAATATTTCCTTGTAAATATATTTTACAGTGGTCTTGAAAGAACAGTGTTATAGACACAGAGATTACATTATGTTTATATAACCCAGGATATTGTTATTCCTAGGATAACCAAGTATAGTCAAACAATGTGACTTTACACAAATAACCCGCACATAAAAGAGAGAAGCTTACGACGACATTTCGGTCCAAGTCGGACCGAAACGTCGTCGTAAGCTTCTCTCTTTTATGTGCGGGTTATTTGTGTATCGTTCCAGTCACGGTGTTGTGCCTTTTTTGTTATTAATATAACTTTATTTCCACATTTTAAAGGAGTATTACACTTGAAACAATCGTAATACTTTAAGGGTTCTTTGTCAGAAAACCAAAGTAGTGAAAAATAGAATAAACAATTATGATACCTGCACTTATATACCATATTTTACAGCATTGAAGATGCTATTTTTTTTTCCAAAAATAAGCCTTGAAAATTTACCCAGCATCTTGGTGAAGTACAATTACTTTTTTCTTTTTTCCAAATTAGCCTATCAAGCTGGGAGGATGGGGTGTCTTGTTTGCCCATAACATAGTATGTATGTATTGAATAGTGAGAGCATGTTGATTTACGCATTTTCCCATATATTAGATGACCATATTGACCCCCGCTTAAAACGATACCTCCAAATGCGACCATTATGTAAGTATTATGTAATGCCTTTGCAAAACGTGTTGTGGGGTCATGAAAGTGACTAATCACTCACAATATTCCTTATGGGCAAAAATTCGCAGTACTGGCACCTGAACATACACGGAAGAAAAAATTCGTTAACGGGGTCACTGTATTTTACACTCCAAATCATAATCACTAACACATGTTGTAAAAATTAAAAACTATCAATTGAAACTGCTGATGAGTATAATTTTTACCAACTCAACGAAATTGTAAACACATTTGCAAACAAACAATTTCGAGTGGGGGTTGAACTTATGGCAAGTGAATCATAAAACTCCAGGCCAATGCGTAAGCCACTGGGCCAGCTGGCTACAAATAAGATTCATCAATCATAGCCAGCTGGTCCATTGGCTTACATGTTAGTCTGGAGTTTTATGACTCACTTGCCACAAATTCAATCCCCACCCATACCATGGTTTGGCATCAGTAAATTGTAAATGTCACTAGTGCATTGATGCCATTGTTGCTGATGAGTGATCATTTTTTAGCCAACTTCAACACACCATAAAACTGTAAGTTTAGATCAGATTCCACTCATTTGATTCTTATTAGATTCATAAGATTTTTTTTAATTTAAATCCTCCATCCCATACACACACACACACACACACCAGTGAAGAGCCAGGGGCCAGGAGCCATGACTCAACCTCTGCAAATACAAATATGTGTGTGTGTGTGTGTGTGTACAACCATGCATGCACGTACATGCGCACACACTGACACAAGTGCAAAGCCATGAAGATTGGGGAAGGGCAAAGAAGACTGCAGACTCAGTACAGGCTAGGGGGCCAAAGACTGCAAACCTCACTCAGGAAAAAGGATCTTGGGGTGAGTATAATACCAAGCACATCTCCTGAGGTGCACATCAACCAAATAACTGCTGCAGCATATAGGCACCTGGCAAACTTAAGAATAGTGTTCCAATGCCTCAGTAAGGAATCATTCAAGACTGTACACCATGAATGCCAGGCCCATATTGAGGTATACAGCACCCGTTTGTAACTCACACCTGGTCAAGCACATAAAGAAATTAGAGAAAGTGCAAATGTTTGCAACAAGACTAGTCCCAGAGCTAAGGGCCATGTCCTATGAGGAGAGGTTAAAGGAAATCAACCTGAGGACACTGGAGGACAAGAGGGATGGGGGGACTTGATAATGACATATAAAACACTGAGAGGAATTGACAAGATGGATACAGACAAGATGTTTCAGAGATGGGACACAGCGACATGGGGTCACAATCGGAAGCTGAAGACTCAGATGACTTGCAGGGATGTTAGGAAGCATTTCTTCAGTCATAGAGTTGTCAGGAAGTGGAATAATCTGGAGAGTGATGTAGTGGAGGCAGGATCCATACAGTTTTAAGAAAATGTATGATAAAGCTCATTGCTAGTAGCAACCAGCAAAGAAGCAAAGCCAGGAACTACAACTCAACCCCTGCACCACAACTAGGAGAGTACACACACACACAGACAATCTTCAACACATCTATCGAAACAGGGCGACTACTTGAGGTATGGAAGACAGCAAATGTAGTCCCAATTTTTAAAAAAGGAGAGAGACACAAAGCATTAAACTACAGACCAGTGTCACTGACATGTATAGTGTGCAAGTCACGGGGAAGGTGGTGGAGCACCTAGAAAGGAATGAGCTTATCAACAACCAGCATGGTTTCAGGGATGAGAAATCCTGTGTCACAAACCTACTGGAGTTTATGATAGGGTGACAACAGTAAGACAAGAGAGAGAGAGGTGGATAGATTGCATTTTCTAGGACTGTAAGAAGGCTTTTGACAGTTCCATACAAGAAATTAGTGCATAAGCTGGAGGACTAGGCAGGTATAACACGGAAGGCACTGCAATGAATCAGGGAATACCTGTTGGGAAGACTTCAGCAAAGTGACAAAGTGTCAGAGTGGGTGCCTGTGATGAGCGGGGTTCCACAGGGGTCAGTCCTAGGACCAGTGCTGTTTCTGGTATATGTAAACAACATGACAGAAGAAATAGACTCTGAAGTGTCCCTGTTTGCAGATGATGTGAAGTTGATGAGAAGAATTCAACTGGATGAGGACCAGGCAGAACTACAAAGGGATTTGGACAGGCTGCAGGCCTGGTCCTTCCTTCCACCACAGTTTTATATGACCTCATGTCATTCTATTCTTCACCATTCTCTTTAAATGCCAAAACTACCTCAACCTCTCCTCAGCCCTCTGAATTACAGTGGTATCCTGAGTTTCGAACTTTCTTCATTCCAGAAGGCTGTTTGAGTGCCATTACCGAACGAATTTGTTCCCATAAGAAATAATGTAAATTAGATTAGTCATTTCAGACCCCCAAAAATACACTTACAAAAGCACTGTATATCTCTCGGTAGCCCCACTCCATCTTATGTCTATTCTCCAAATTCTAAGCATAATACTTAGACTTTACATTGTGCTCAGATGTAACATCTCTACTGCCTCTAGCTGCCTCCTCACTGTGATGTTTGAAGATCAGTGCCTCACACTCATATATTATAATATTGGTACTGTTATACTCTGGTATCTTCCTCTTTCACCTCCACAGATAAACTTCTATCTTTCCACAAATGCAACAAACAATCTACCTTCCTTTTTTTCTTTGTCTTTTCATTGGTTCACCTAATTTTTCATAGACCAATCTATTTTCATCACCACTATCAGATATTTACATACATTTACTCCTTCAATACTTCTTTCCACCAATCTGATATCCAGTGTTGCTGAGATTGTTTGTTACAATTATCGCCTGAGCTCTTGCCCATGTTTACCTTTAATTTCCTTCTATTATGTACCCTCCCAAATTCCTCCGTCAACCTTTGTAACTTCTCTTTAGTATCTCCCAAAAGATCTGTTTCATCAGCAAGCAATACTGTGACAGCTCTCACTTTGTATCAGATTCATTAACTTTTAATCCTACACCCCTACTCAACAACCCAGTGTTCGTTAATTTTACAACCCCATTTACAAGTGCTATATGTTAAATAACTATGGTGACCTCATGCATCACTGCCTAAGGTCCAATTTTACTAGAAAATACAGTATTCCCCTTCTGCTTTACATATCCTAACCTGAGCCTCACTCTCCACAGAACTCTTTACTGCTTTTAGCAACCTACTAAATAATCCATGAACTTGCAATATGTGCCACAGTGCTTCCTTATCCACTTGATATGTTTTTCCTAAATACAAGAGAGGCAAATAGTTCCTTAACTTTATCTAAGTGTTATTCACTTAAATGCTTCCTTGTCAACACTTGGTGTACAAATCCCTTACCTAAATCATCCTTGTTAGTCTACAATTCTATTTATCTAATGCCATTTACTGAAAATCAGGAAGAGAAGCAGTAACAAGAGTTTCTATGACATTTATTCTTTTGTCATTCTATAAATACCTGAATATTCATAAAGATTTCAATAAGATTATTTACCCTAAAAGAATAATAACACAAGAAAACCCAAGACAGTCAAGCATTGTAGCTTATTTCCAGTAGAATTCTTTAGTCCTCTTCCCAAAGAGGTAATCCACAAATCGACTAAAGCTAAGGTATCTACATACTGCTATATGAACATGGGCTGTAGGTGTTAGGACACTTGCCCAAACATCGCACCTCGCTCAGGATTAAACCCAGACCCATGGGCTGTGAGCCAAAGGCACTACCACTGTGTATACAAATTGTTTATACAAATAGCTAAAGAAAAACTTTGATTTAACATCTCCCTATTTAATCAGTTTCAGATTTAGAAAACAAACTCTGTAACCAGATGACTTTCAGAAACAGTGAACAGAGTATTACATCCAGGAAAGGTATGTTATTATTATGGCCTGCAGGGTACATTTATTCTGGATTCATCAGATGATGTCTCGATTCATCAGAATCGAGCATTATTGTAAAGATCACAGAAAAGTGATGTCATCGTTCAAACTGAACAGACATTCCCTCCCTTCTATTAGTTAATTAAACTGAGGATTCACTGTAGCCCATTTGTACACTCTTCTCATAATGAACAAGCAGCTTGTAAGCTTACCTAAGCGTCCCTGTTCATGAATGGAACGAATAACACCGAGCGCTGTGCCATAGCCGGCCGTTGCAAGGGAGCCAGTGTTGCAATGCGTCAGTAACTGCACATTCCTGCCACCTGCCGATTTTAATATCGACTCAGCGCCGAACCAGCCAATTTTCTTGTTGGTGTTAATATCATCATCTAACATCTTCTGACACCAACTAGACACCCTGAAATATTAGTAATATTGCATTATTGTATTCATGGAGAAATACTAACCTCGAAAGAGTCATATAATAACTGAAATATTTTACAGTACATGAAAATTTAACTGCCTCTTACCTGTCAGAGGAGAGCTAATGGCAAAATTCTAGCGGCTTCAAATCTTGCGGGAGAAAGCTGGTAGGCCTTCATGTGAGGGAATGGGTCTGCATGGGCAGTGTGAGCAGTAAAAAAAAGATCCTGCTGCATGCAGTGCATGATGAGAAAAACTTGCGACCACGTTCTTGGTTTAAAGCAGTGACTTTGCGGTGTATTTTCATATGGCATTTGCGGGTGTATTCTTATTTAATAGAATGGAAGATGTATTACAGAAATAGAGCTGATTTTGAATGGTTTACAAACAAAAAGTAGCTTAAAATTGAGCTCAAAGTAGTGGAAATGTTAATTTTTTGCCGATGTTCAAGAGTAAACAAATCACGTCACACGTATTCATGAATGTACTGATATTATTTACACAATTTTTACAATTATGCAGTAGTCTTAATAACAGTAAATCTTCTATTTTTTGTGTGAATAAAAATTCAATATGAAAAGCATGCATAATATAAGAGGGGCTGGAGATGTGACTGATGAACAGAGAAAATGTTATTTTAGTGCCAGGAATGTCTGCATTGTTTATTCTGGATCCTATTTTGAAACTTGGCTTTCTTGAATTTTGTGTGAAATTGGCCAAATTAGTAATTTCAGATCACCTTATTAGGTAGTTGAAATAGGTAAATTGGCAGTTTCTCGTACTCAGTCGATAGAACAAAAGGAGTTTTAGTGAAATAGCTTTGAGTTTGGTTGACTAAAACAGTGGAACTGGCCCAAAATAGGGTTCCAAGTGGGCAAAATTGCCTATGCGTAAATACTGCCAAGACCACTACTTTCGCGAAAGCATAATTCCATAAGATTTCCACCAAATTTCGAACTTTTGGTTTCATTACCTTCGGAAAAAGATTCTCTGTCATTTCATAAGAATTTTTTTTTTTTTAAATTCTTCAACCTTGGGAGCATTGTCAGTCAAGAACCAAGAGCATGTATGAAAACCAGGTAGTTTTATTCTTGAATTCCTTGTTTGAAAATTGATCTGTTCGAGAAGTAGTGCATTCGACAACCAAGGTTCCACTGCATTATAAACAAGGAAAGCAGAAAAATCCTAAGTCATTCAATGCTATGAGGCAGATGTGAGACTGAGGAAGAGAGATGGTAGAGGTGTGGAGGGAAGGATATAAACAAAATTAATGGTGGAAATAAATGGTGTAAAATACTGACATGATAAAAAAAGACAAAAATGCAGTACATATAATGCAATCCTTTACTGACTACATTTCGCCCACACAGTGGACTTTATCAAGTGACAAATAGAGCTACCTGGCCAAAGAGTACATAACTATATACACGCACTATAGTATGTCGAGTCAGGTGGAGAATGTTAGGGAGGCTGGATCTGAGATGGACCTGTATGGGATGGGCAAGTAGATGTGTTGTTAATTAAGTAGGATAACAATGAACAAGTTTCCTGGCAAGGGGTTCAGCTATGTTATAAAAGCCATTGTTCTGGTTGAAATTGTTGGATATACAGACAAGCGATGATTCCAAGATCCTGCAACACAGTCTTCTTCCCTGGCGTTGAATCTTGTGTCTCTGTAGTTGATTAAATGTTTGTGGAAGTTTTGAAGAATGCCTGTGTAGAACACAGGCATTCCTCAAATCGTCCTTTCTGCTTGCATATTGGTGTCTTGAAATGTGTGTTTGGAGGTCTCTGGATGTCTCGCCCATGTATAATTGGTTGTAATTGCTGCAAGGGATTATGTATACCCCTGCAGAGGATTGAACCTTGTGGTGTTTCTTACTGGTAATATTCTTGATGGCGGTGGATGTGGAGGTAGATACTTGGAATGTGGTATTGGAAAAGTTGTTGGAGACTTATCTGGCAATGGAATTAGTGAGGACGACTACGTATCTGCTCTCGGAAGTATCTTGTCTGGGAGAGTGATAGATGTTATTGCCCAATGTTTGAAGTCTCTGATGAAGTGATAAGGGTAGTGAAGTTCAGAAAATATTTGTTCAATGAAACAACTTCCTTCCTCAAGGAATTCACTGCTACAAATTTGGAGGGCATGAAGGAAGAAGCCTATGATTACACCATGTTTAGTTTAGTTCGGTGACTCCTTCGACCTTCCTGTTCCAGCCAGTGATTTCATTGACCTTGAATTGTGTGTTAGTTTTACACGTTTCTCTTTAGAAAATCATCTTTTTCAGCAGACTTTTGGACTACCCATTGGTTCCCCACTTAGTGCTATACTGGTAAATTTATGTATGGAACATCTGGAAGCAGAGTGATTTTCCTCTATTATGCCATCTTCAGTCATCTGGCTTCATTATGTTGACAATGTTCTCATCATAACTCCCAGATGCTTCAATGTTCAAGCTCTCCAACACAATTCAACCAGGTCGAGCCCTCAATCCAGCAGCAAATTTACACCTGGGTGGCTAATCCTCCTCCAGGTTAAAAATCCCAACAAAATCTTATCTTACGCATTTGGTGAGATATACAGAAAACATTCCAGTACAGTCAACCCCTCCATTTAACAAGCTAATTGGGGTGGAGGAGGGAGCAGGCAGTTGATAGAGAAAAGACTGCTCTGCCGTGATCGTAATGACAATGAATAAATCTGCAACCAAAGGACTTTTTCCATTGCTTCCAAATCTACTGACTCGGTTCATTTTGTTGTGTTTCTTAAGGCCATTAAATTGTGATCCATTAAGAAGAGAGTTTACTGAATTTAAAAAATGTCAGTTGTAATACATGTATTTACTTTTGTCCCCAGACACATTTATTTTTTTTACACCAGTGAACTTATAGACTAAGAGGTGCTATCCTACCTCGGCCCTACCTAAGATATACTCCCCACCCACAACAGCAGGTGATTACCATGCTGGTTTACAAACCATATACAATAGATATATCTGTAGCACAAACCAAAGTATGACAAACATGATCAATTTTACAATGATTTACTATATCCTGGCATCCATGGGCTAAATAAAATAGGTGAAGAGAGGGAGCAAGAGTAAAGAGACATGCCCATACATCTTGATTTGCTTAGGATTAAACCCAGGTGCTTCAGCTGTGAGATGAAGGTGTTACTGTACCACAGAGCTACAAGATTTAAAGGAATTAAAACCTTACAGATTAATACTGTAATATTAGAGCCAAAAAAGAGAAAAACAGTCAAAATGAAGTACCGTATAATACTCACAGTTTGACCATATCTTCCACAGATAAATTATCTTCATATAGTTTCTTGCTGATGGCTTTCAATTCTTCAGCTGCTTTCTGTAAGTTGACTGCTGTGGGTCGTGCTGTCACTAGATAGTCCAGTTTCTTGTTTATAGTGTCTAGCAGTTCATCTTTATCCTCAAATGATGTATTAATTAGTTCAACAGCAAGACTCAAGCAGCCTACTATTGCAATCGCAGGAGCTCCACGAACCTGTAAAACATATCAAAGTTGACCAAAAAATTCTTCATATCACATTTGTTGAAAACACAAGTATGAATCTACTTGTGGATGATTATCATCATATTTATAAGGAAGTGTTAAACCTGTAAGGGTCATGCAGCCCTGGGACTGAGAGGGTATCAAGTCTGATCCAGGAGGGCAGTTTCAATTCCTTGTGTCAAGAGTCCTGTCAAAACCATCAGCCCACCACCCATGAATGGTGGTCTGGGAAAAAAATGTCTAGTCTTCTATTATCCAAGGGAATCAATGAGGTGTTATGAGGCTGTCTCTCATGTTCTACTAGTCAGAGGAATAAAGAGGTTGAGATTTACAGATTATTTTTATTATTATATTAAAACCTCTCCTCACTTAATGAAGGAGTTTTGTTCCTAAGACCACGTCGGTAAACGAATTCGTCACTAAGTGAGGAGCATACTATAATGGTAGTGGATTTATGTCAACCATCATTGATATTGTTTTAATGTCACCTTTGCACCATTTATAACATTTCTGGTATATTTTTAAATGTTTATACAGTTGTGTACTGTACATTGTAATAAACAGAATAGAAGAAATCAGCTCTAATATACGTATATTATTTAGATATACATACTGGTCAGAGAGCCTGTCTTAAGTCCCAGTCATCAGTAAACGAGTACATCATCAAGTGAGGAAAGGCGACACTAAAGGCAGCACTAAACTCAAGAGGAAGGCACAGCATTCTATATAGAGAATTTTGCATATACAGTAGACTCTGATCTTCCATGCATCCACCTAATGCATTTGCAACATTTCGCAATTCACTTTTTGTGTACTATTTCACACTTCATTTTATGATATTTTGCTATGCAGTGGTTTTCAATTACACCCATTCTTCATTTATTCAGACTTCCTACTTAAGCTGAATCCAAGTCCAAATGAATATTTTCTATTTTCTGACCAAAATAATCACAGGCCAAGGCGAGCTAAAAACCAGAATCAAAAACAGGGAGAGTAGGTTTAGATGGACAACCAAGTAGGTTATTCAGGAGGGTGAACAACAGCCACTGATTGCCACAAGATTCAAATTTTTCCCTGAAGTGCTCTGTTTTATGAGCTGCTGACCCCTTTATGACTGTTTTATACAGCACAATTTTTATTTCCTTATGCAATACAAACAATATAGTTAACATGTAATAAAACATTGGTAGGCACGAGAGCCACTAGTATGCAATGCATTTCAGTCAAACTAATGTTAATGCTTAAATGTTACTTGTGAATCAGACTATGATCCAAGAGTACACAGTCTATGTCATCAATGCATCGCATTCTGAGTCCTACGTAGCTGAGCAACAGAGGAAGTGTACCAAGAGGCAAAAATTACTAATCAAGATCATTTATGTTCAAGGAACTGGCAACAGACAGAACCAAGTCCAGTATATGGCCACTAATATGAGTGGGTGATGCTGCATTATTCGAAAAGTTATTCTCATCTATTAGCATCAAGAAGTCACATGAATAGCATTTCTGTTGTGGACAATCAATCATGTAGTTAAAGTCACCATACACAAAAGATGACAGCTCTTCCTTTCAAAGGATACAAGAAACAAAAGAACCTGTGCCACCAGTACCAGATGACACACAACCACCGGTCTCAATCTGCAAATGATAATTAACTGCTACTTCCATTACCTCAAATGACACCTGTTAATCAACTACCAGTAATATGTAGTATGATGAATATTTGGCAGAAACCAAAAATATGACTACGACTCCGGAGTAGTCATTGCCCTCAGAACAAAATAAATCAAAAAGAAGCTGGGGAGAGCAGCTGTACCACTGGTATATCAGACTCCAACGATGTTTCTGTCAGACACCGAATATCAAGAGAAAACTCTTCCTGAGCTTCAATAACATTAAGAAACTTATTTCTTATTGAACAAATGTTCAATAATCCTACCTTCAAGGAGTCTGAGGTGCCTGAGGACTTTGGATGCTTTTCAAGACTGTAAAATTACTGTTCTCCATCAATTTACGATGTTGCAGTACCATCTCCAGTCTGAACTAGATCAAAATGATGAATTTCACCATGAGGAACATCCCTGGAAGAACAATTAATACAACAGGGGGATGATTTCTAGTCACAATTTCTAGATTGATGATTCCCAGTACATAAAAAAGGCACTAGGCAAACCATCCTCAGGAGAACAATTTGCCACAGTATGAGCAAAACCTTTGCAATGGTAACACTGGGTCCCCTATAACCTTGCATCTTGTCAGACCAACAAAGTACACAGGTGCTCTTCGACTTATGCTCCAACGAACCCATTGTATGTTGAATATATGGTGCAAGTCGAATATGAATATTTTTTTTTATTAACACGTCGGCTGTTTCCCACCAAGGTAGGATGGACCGAAAAAGAAAAACCTTCATCATTCACTCCATCACTGTCTTGCCAAAGGTGCGCTTACACTACAATTATAAAACTGCAGCATTAACACCCCTCCTTCAGAGTGCTGGTACTGTACTTCCCATCTCCAGGACTCAAGTCTGGCCTGCCGGTTTCCTGAATCCCTTCATAAACATTACCCTGCTCACACTCCAACAGCACGTCAAGACCTAAGGATCATTTGTCTCCATTTGCTCCTATCTAACACGCTCACACATGCTTGCTGAAAATCCAAGCCCCTTGCACACAAAAACTCCTTTACCCCCCTCCCTCCAACCTTTCCTAGGTTGACTTCTACCCCGCCTTACCTTCACTACAGATTCACACACCCTCAAAGTCATTCTATTTTGTTCCTTCCTCTCTACATGTCTGAATCACCTCAACAACCCCTCCTCAGCCCTCTGGATAAAAGTTTTGGTAATCCTGCACATCCTCCTAATTTCCAAGCTACAAATTCTCTGCATTATATTCATACCACATTGCCATCAGACACAGTATCTCCACTGCCTCCAGCCTTCTTGTTGCAACATTCACCACCCATGCTTCATACCCATATAAGAGCGTTGGTATAACTACACTCTCATACATTCCCCTCTTTGCTGCCATGGACAAAGTTGTTTCCATATACTCCTCAGTGCACCACTCACTTTCTCCCCTCATCAATTCTATGATTCACCTCATCTTTCATAGACTCATCTGTTGACCTGTCCACTCCTAAATATCTGAATACCTTCATCTCCTCTATACTCTCTCCCACCAACCTGATATCCAATCTTTCGTTACTTAATTTTTTTTACTAACCTCATCACCTTACTCTTTCCTATACATATTCACTTTCTGTTTTCTTCTTTTACATACCTTACCAAACTTGTCCACCAACCTCTGCAACTTCTCTTCAAAGTCTCCCAAAAGCACAGTGTCATCAGCAAAGAACAACCGTGACAACTCCCACTTTGTGTTATATTTATTATCTTTTAACCCCACACCTCTTGCCAACACTCAAGCATTCACTTCACTTACAACTCCATCTATAAATATATTAAACAACCATGGTGACATCACACATCCTTGTCTAAGGCCTACTTTTACTGGGAAATAATTTCCCTCTCTCCTACATACTCTAATCTGAGCCTCACTATCCTCATAAAAACTTTTCAGTGCTTTCAATAGCCAACCTCCTATTCCATACATTTGCAACATCTGCCACAATGCCTTCCTATCCACCCTGTCATATGAATATATAATAAATAAATACATAAATAAATAATTACTGTCACTAAATATGCAAATAAACAAATAGTTACTGTAACTAAATACAGTGGACCCCAGCTTAACGATCACCTCCCAATGCGACCAATTATGTAAGTGTATTTATGTAAGTGCATTTGTACGTGTATGTTTGGGGGTCTGAAATTGACTAATCTACTTCACAATATTCCTTATGGGAACAAATTCGGTCAGTACTGGCACCTGAACATACTTCTGGAATGAAAATATATCGTTAACCGGGGGTCCACTGTACAGTGTAACCCCGAGTTTCAGCCGTAATCCGTTCCAGGAGCTAGGCCTAAAGTCGAAGCAATATTTCCCATAAGAAATAATGTAAATCCAATTAATCCGTTCCAGACCCACAAAAATATTCACTAAGAATACATTTTTTTAAAGAATAACTATAGTTTTACATACACAAAACAATTATAAATACATATAGTACTTAAATGAGTAATGAAACAGATAAACATTTAAATAAACATTTAAAATCACATTTACATACCTTTATTGAAGACTCTTGTTGGCATCTGGAAGATAGGAAGGAGGAGAGAGGGACTTATTATTGCCTCAACTACTGCCTCCACCACTGCCTCAACCACTGCTTCAACCACTGCAGTGCACTGCTTCGTATTTTTGTACAATTTCTTTCTTCACTTCTATGGTGTTTCTCTCTTTCTTTACCAAAGGGGTGACACTAGGAAGTTTCTTTGGGCCCATAGTGGCTTATTTCACAGTCACAATCAATAAACAAGCACTAAACACAATGAATTTATTGTGAAATGTTTAGATGAGCATGAAGGGTAATGTTCATTCAAGGATAAACAAAGCTAGACTGGCTCACGACGCCTATGCAAACAGGCGGGCAGGCACGGGCAGGTGGACAGGTCTGGTATGCTGGCTGAAACACGGGGCACAGGCCAAAACTCAAGACAAAATTTAGCCGAAAAAAGTGGTCGAAACTCAAAGCGGCCGATACCCAGGGCAGCCAAAACTAGGGGTTCCACTGTACCAGTATTGAAAAGCAAATGAATATAAGTTTATCCTATCAATATATGTACAGTACTCGATAGTACAAAAAAAATACAGTACACTGACTTGATTTCCCAAGGATGATACAGGTACAGTACATGTAGTGACATATTGTACAAGTACTCACCATTAATGTATTCAGCTGAAAGCACACTGGGCCAGAAGACTTTTGTGAAGCACAGAACTAACATTAATTACTATTGCACCATCGTAAAGTCAAAATATCATGTCAAACCATCATAAAGCAAGGAGCATCTGTGT